GCGATTCCATTAATGTCTACATGGACAACCGATTCTAGCTTCATTATGGCAAAGTTTTTTTTTTTTCACTCATCATCTTCTACTTCTTTATTATCTTCATTCTCATTCTAGCAGCTCTCGCATCTTTTACTTCCTTCATTAATTCAGGCAAGTATTTTTCCAACCAAATTTCTGGTTTATTTTGTAATGCAGATTCATAATTTTTTGATTGTTTTTCCAGAGAATTGATTAAATCTTTGGTATCTTGGAACGTTTCAAGATTATAAAGCAGTTTTACGACTAAAACTGCTTTATTTTTATCGTCAATATCAATAAATTCTGCGTATTTTGATATTTCGATCGGCGAACTCTTTTCTTTGTGATCCACGAGTTCATCCTGAGCACCTACATTTTTATCGATTGGGAATTCTATGATTTCACCTACGTTTTCTCCTATTTTCATAACATGTATGCCTGCAGAGGGAACATGACTCTTATTCATAAAGAAATCCTTGCAATATTTACAAGGATTCTTATCAGTATTAATATCATTATAGGAGAATCCGCAATGTATGCATTTTTCGTTTAACAAGTCATTCTTCTCGCGTTTTTGCTTATTAATGGGATCAATTGATTCATTAATCCTAATGATAGTATCATTCAGAATGAATTTGATGAAAGTAGAAAAGTTTCTTGCTTTTTTTGCAAGTTCGTTAATGTGTCTATGCTTACCCTCTGCACTATTATTAGTGCTTATAGGTGGAATGCGGTGGTATGCTGCTAAATAGGGATGCGTTAAACACGCCATTTGACCGGGCGTACATTTTTTTTGTTCGCCCAAAAATTTCGCCATTTGAGAAATTCAAAAATTAAAAATAAAATTTTAATCTTGATTTTTTATTTTCGTGATTTTTTTGAAACTTACATAAGCGATGAAATACTTTTTTTAAGTAATCGTTTATTATATATAAATATATCTTAATAAATTTAATTCCTTAAGGTAGAGCGTGTTCAAATTTAAAATCTCATACAATATTTTCTTAATGGCGTATTTTTCTGAGGTCGCCCAAATAAAGGCGAATTCAAAATTGAGAACTCCAAGGCGTATGGCGAGTATTCAAAAAGTACGCCACATCCAAAATATTGAATGTGGATTATCAATTTTTTGGCGTGTTCAATTTCAAATTTTGATATTTATGTTTATTTTATTCAGTATAATGCTAAGAATTAAAATATAAAATTCATAGAATTTTTTCTTTGAAAATATTTTACATTTTTATTAGACCACTCCTAGACTAGTCATCAGGTTATCCTCAGATCATCCTCAGACTACTCCTTATCAGATTACTCATCATCCTCAGACTACTCCTTAGACCCCTCCTCATCAGACTCCTCCTCAGATCTTCCTCATAAGACTACTCTTCAGACTACTCCTTAGAGTCCTCCTCATCAGACTAGTCCTGAGACTAGTCCTCAGACTACTCCTGAAACTACTCCTCAGATTATCCTCAAACTACTCCTCAGTCTAATCCTCAGACTCCTCCTCAGATTATGCTCAGATTATCCTCAAACTCCTCAGATTATCCTCAGACTACTCCTCAAACTCCTCAGTCTAATCCTCAGACTCCTCCTCAGATTATCCTCAAACTCCTCAGACTACTCCTCAAACTACTCCTCGGTCTAATCTTCAGACTCCTCCTCAGATTATCCTCAAACTCCTCAGACTACTCCTCGGTCTAATCCTCAGACTCCTCCTCAGATTATGCTCAGATTATCCTCAAACTCCTCAGATTATCCTCAGACTACTCCTCAAACTCCTCGGTCTAATCTTCAGACTCCTCCTCAGATTATCCTCAAACTCCTCAGACTACTCCTCGGTCTAATCCTCAGACTCCTCAGTCTAATCCTCAGACTCCTCCTCAGATTATGCTCAGATTATCCTCAAACTCCTCAGATTATCCTCAGACTACTCCTCAAACTCCTCGGTCTAATCTTCAGACTCCTCCTCAAACTCCTCAGACTACTCCTCAGACTACTCCTCAAACTCCTCAGATTATCATCAAACTCCTCAGACTACTCCTCGGTCTAATCCTCAGACTCCTCCTCAGATTATCCTCAAACTCCTCCTCAGACTACTCCTCAAACTCCTCAGATTATCCTCAAACTCCTCAGACTACTCCTCAAACTCCTCAGATTATCCTCAAACTCCTCAAACTACTCCTCAGACTACTCCTCAAACTCCTCAGATTATCATCAAACTCCTCAGACTACTCCTCGGTCTAATCCTCAGACTCCTCCTCAGATTATCCTCAAACTCCTCCTCAGATTATCCTCAGACTACTCCTCAAACTCCTCCTCAGACTACTCCTCAAACTCCTCAGATTATCCTCAAACTCCTCAGACTACTCCTCAAACTCCTCAGACTACTCCTCAAACTCCTCAGATTATCCTCAAACTCCTCAAACTACTCCTCAGACTACTCCTCAAACTCCTCAGATTATCATCAAACTCCTCAGACTACTCCTCGGTCTAATCCTCAGACTCCTCCTCAGATTATCCTCAAACTCCTCCTCAGACTACTCCTCAAACTCCTCAGATTATCCTCAAACTCCTCAGACTACTCCTCAAACTCCTCAGACTACTCCTCAAACTCCTCAGATTATCCTCAAACTCCTCAAACTACTCCTCAGACTACTCCTCAAACTCCTCAGATTATCATCAAACTCCTCAGACTACTCCTCGGTCTAATCCTCAGACTCCTCCTCAGATTATCCTCAAACTCCTCCTCAGATTATCCTCAAACTCCTCAGACTACTCCTCAAACTCCTCAGACTACTCCTCAAACTCCTCAGATTATCATCAAACTTCTCAGACTACTCCTCGGTCTAATCCTCAGACTCCTCCTCAGATTATCACTTTACATATATATATCGATAACTAAATAATTACTTATTATACTTTCTTTATTTTTTTTTTAATTTTAAAATAATATTAATATATCTTTCTACGTTTAATGATGAAAAGAGAAAGAGGAGTAAAAAGAGGAAAGAGAAAAGAAAGAGAGAAAAAAAAAGAGAAAGAAAGAAAGGAAAAAAAGGACGGCGATAATTTTGTATTGTTTTGTGATTCGGTCGAATGGCGTATGATTATATTTTTAAACGGTCATGGCGTAAAACTGTCGCATCCCTACTGCTAAATGCTCTTGATCTTTATATATCTGCTTCCATTTTTCCAGTTGCTCATCTGATATATTCTTTGTAGCATACATTTTCTGAACCGATGGATCAAAACATTTGTAATTGTCCTCAAAATCTTGGGCAGATTTTGATAATAATACTATCAGAGCAAAAACATGTAGTAAAGTATTATTGCCCATGGTTCCGAGATAGTGCCTAATACAGATATAATTTTGGAAATGATTCGTATTCAAAAATTTTAAAACTCCAGTACCTAAATCGCTCATCCATTTGATTCTTGAAAAGTGCTCCATAATGTTTAATGATTTAAATTCAATATTCATGGCTGTAAGCCACCGTTGATAAGCAGCGGATGATTCGCTGCGCCCTATGTATATCCCTAGAGGGTAACCTCGCATATAGTAATTACCACGAGGAAAAATAAATATATATTTCGGCCATGAAAAAGTAGCATCTAAGTGAATTAAATTACACTCCAACGCCAAATTTCCTGATTCGCTTGGAATATATATAAGAAATTCTATAGGATTTCCATTGACGAATAAACTATCACTTCTTATCGTTGTGCTATAATTTACATAAAATTTCCCGGGATATGAAGTTAAGATATCACCAATCTCATTATCATGCTTTATTTTTTCCTGTATTTCATCTTGCAGAGGATGTCCTGGGAGATCAACTTTCGTTATTTGAATGTACCATTTTAACCTCCCTGAAAACTCTTTGGGTAATTTTATGTTTTTCATGTTTTTTGGTACAGTAATCATCCACAACGTATCTGATACTTTTGAATATTCAAAGGATACGATTTTGTCATACAATGTGATCTTAAAGTAATAATAATTATCTGTAGAAATTTTTAAAGGGGAATAATCTTCGTTTTGAAGTAGAAAATAATTTAAGTTTACAGATCGATCAGAACTTATATTGGAAAGGCCCAAATGAATAAATGCTGGCATTTGTTCCAAAAACTTCAATGTTTGTTCATAAGTTAACACATTGATATGAATACCAGGGCTTATTAGAATTAATTGCATTGATTTGAGTTTTTCAATATCAGTATTTTTAGAGCATTCAAAACAAATATGGCAACCATCTATTGTAATTGGAGACCGATCAACTGGAATTTTTTCTATGGATTCATGAAATTGTTTGATCGCTGTAAATTTAATACCCATGATTTGTTCAAAATCTGCTTGAATTTTTTTGTCAGCTTTCAAACAAGCTTTTGCTAAAATTTCCAGAAGGTCATTGTTTTTTATTTGATTCAAAACATTAAAGTTCTTGTACATAAAATCATTATTTTGAATTAGGGCCTCATGGAAGATTAAATGAATCTTTAAACGAATAACTTTGCTTTCATTCAAATTCATTACTGATATAATATTATTTGTTGAAACAATCGAAGAGAGTAATGGATTTCTAAATGTAGAAAATAACTCTGAGATATTGTATGCAAAAGATAAAACATACTTGATTTGGTTTGTAAATTGATAAGTCTGCAAATTGAATTTATCATTCATTTTGAAAATTGTTTCGTTTGGGCTTGACATTATCAATGCTTTCATGATTGGTGTAACATTATCTATATTACACGAATTTAAAATATTAATTGATTCAAATTTAACTGCTAGTTCATAGAAAGAATATTTACTATTATCCAATATAGATCTGATACGTATTTGATAATATTCTTCACCATTTTGATTTGTTTGATCTGAAATTAAAACATTAATAAAATCTTCGATTGTTAAATCACACGATTTTCCTGAAAAAGCAAAAATATTCGAATATCTTTTATCGCCATTAATTATTGCTTGTATTAATGGTTTAGAAATTCCTGCTTTTGAGTATAATTCCTGGTCAAATGAAAAATTTTGTAAGAAACCTATAACCTGTGCATAAAATTTGGGGCGGGCAATTATAAATGCTTCTAAAAATTTAAGAATATATTGTTCCCCTAGACGATGGATTTTGATTTTAATTTGACTGAGATCTGTTTGCAAATATTTTTCACTTATAATCATATTTACCATTTCTGTAAAAGCTTCAGCGGATTTCTGAAATTTAGGTGTTGTTTCATATGTTTGAAGATACTTTACTTCATCGCTATTCGAGATAAAACGCTCTTTGAGTTCCTCCAAATAACAAATGATAGATTTATTTTCAAATCCAAATAATTTATGTCCAAAATTATATACATTCTTAATATTTCTGTTTAATTCTTTGATTTTTGAAACGATTTGTCCCCAAGGATATGATGGTGAATCTCCGACATATGCATTTGATAATGAATCCAAAACAGTGAATTTAGGTTTACCATCTTGATAAGTTATTTTATTTGTATACCATTCTTTTTGATAGGGTTTATTGGAAGAAATATATAAATTGTTGAATCAGAATTTACACTATTACATCTAATAGAACCCAACTGAATTAAAATCAAATCATCCGAAACATTTAATGGTAGATGAAGATGGTTTAGCATTAAAAAAATTGTCACTTTTTAAAAATTTCGGATTTTTAAGAGTATGTTGAAAATTAAACATACTCTTAATATATGTTAATAATTATCATTTGATAAAATTATTTAAATAGTAATCAAAATATTGTTATAAATATTAATGGAGTTGAAAAATTATGATCATAAAAGTAAGATGTTAGCATCTAGCCTCAGTAGATACTAAGTCATATCAGAATAGACACATATTCATCCTCAATTGACTCTTACTCATCTTCAATTGATTCTCACAAATAATCAATTGATCCATTATTATCAATGATTCTCACAAATAATCAATTGATTCTCAGTCACCCTAAATTGATTCTCACTACTTATTAATTGATTCTTACTCATCCTTAATTGATTCTCGCTAAGAATCAAGTGATTCTCACTCTTCCTCAATTTCTTCTTAGTATTATTCAATTGATTCTCACTGATGTTCAGTTGAATCTCACTAATAATCAAATGATTCTCACTCATCCTCAATTGATTGTCACTTATTCACAATTTATTCTTAAACAACCTTAATTAACTCCCAGTATTCTTCAATTGATTCTCACTAATTATAATTTGATTCTCAGTCATCCTCAATTTATTCTAACTCAATAAGAATATGAATATGAAAATGGATTGGAATAGGTGATAATTAAAATATATTGATATGAATTTGTGAGAGTGTCTTTAATAAAGAAAAATTTGTCAAAGAACAATAATGTCAAATTGGTGGGAGCATATAGTAATGAAATATTTATTGATAAATATTAATGTCATAATAATTGAGAGCATGTAGTAATGAAAAATTAATTGATAAATAATATTATTAAATAGGGTGATTGCATTGATCAATACATATATAAGAATGAATTTCGATGTCAAACCGTCAGTCATATTGTTAGTCAAAACGTCAGTTATATTCTCATTCATACACTCACTCAAACCGTCAGTCATATTGTCACTCAAACTGTCAGCCAATTGTCAGCTAAACTCTAAGTCATATTCTAACTAAAGCCGTCACTCATATTGTCAGTCAAAACGTCAGTCATGTTGTCACTCAAACTATCAGTCTTATTCTCACTAAAACCATCAGTCATACACTCTCTTAAACTATGAGTCATATTGTCACCCAAACTCTCAGTCATATTCTAAATAAAACCTTAAGTCATATTGTCGGTCAAACCGTCAGTCATATTGTCGGTCAAACTGTCAGTCTTACTCTCAATAAAAAGCTAATTCATAGTGTCTGTCAAACCACAGTCATATTGTCACTCAAACTGTCAGTAATATTCTAATTAAAGCCGTCAGTCATATTGTCAGTCAAACTGTAAGTCATACACTCACTCAAATCAACAATCATATTGTCACCCAAACTATCAGTCTTATTCTCACTAAAACCGTCAGTCATATTGTCAGTCATATTGTCACTCAAACCGTCAGTCATATTGTCAGTCAAACTGTCAGTCATTCACTCACTCAAATCAACAGTTATATTGTCACTCAAACTATCAGTCTTATTCTCACTAAAACCATCAGTCATACACTCTCTTAAACTATGAGTCATATTGTCACCCAAACTCTCAGTCATA